CAGACTGCAGAGGATTCTGAGAGCAGGAATCTTTGGTATGCTCCACGGTGGCCTCGTGTCCATACACAGCCGTCGACACCCACAGGCTGGCTCACTGCAGCTCCGGGGGCAGTGGCTGGGTGCAGGTCCGTCAGTGCTAGCAAAGGCTGTAATACATGATGGTGCTGACAGGCGAGGCCGTCTCAGGATGTCCTGCTCAACTTTGCTGTGAACGTATAACTGCTCCAAAACAGGAAAGTTTACTGATTTTTTTAACTAAGAGGAACAACAAAACAAAACTGAATGGAAGAGGCTGAGGAAGGAGGACTGCTTAAGCCCAGGAGTGCAAGGCCAACTGGAGAGACATAAAAAGACCATTTCTCTTAATATAATTTTTTTTAAAAACCAGAAAACAAAGTATTTGTTCCAAAAGGAAAGATATACTATGAAAGAAATGCAAATTCTTCTTAAGGATAAAATGAAGACTAAAAAAATCTTTGAGTGAAAGTGTTTGTATAAAAATATATGGGCATTGTGATAAAGAAGATGTGGATTTTTTATATAATGGAATACTACGCTGTCATAAAAAGGATAGGCTTGAGACATTCCTAGGTAAATAGATGCGCCTTGAGACCATACCCCGAAGTGAAATAACTCAGACACACGTGTAAATATCACATTGTTTCTCTGGTGTGAGAAACTGAAAGTGCGGGTAAGGACCAAAATGTGTAATAGATACTGTGAAATAGAAAGAAATTTTTCGAATGGGAAGGGGAACCAGGGAAATGGGAGGGGGAAGGAAGGAAGGGAAAAGGAAACAAAAAGCCTCCCTGTCTTGGAGCCAGCCAAGTATGGACTGAAACCTCTACACACTGTGAGCTAAATAAACTTTTCCTCTTTTAACTTTGGGTGTCCAGTATTTTGCCTCAGCAACGAGAAAAGTAACCAAGACACAAATCTTTTGTAATTAGGGGGGAGGGGAGGGCAATGGGAAAAAAGCAGCAAGATAGATCACGTGCAGGTACAAATCCCCATTGATGAATGTGCTCATTATGCATATCTAAACATACCAGTAAACAATTGATAAAAAATGTGGGCATTGAAGAAGTACGCAATAGGATATGCAGTAGCAAAATCTTAAAATACACAAGGTTAATGCTTTAAACAGCTGTGGCCAGGCACGCGTTGGTGTGGATAACGTCATCGGAATGCATTTGCTTGGAGCTGAGCTGTGTGCGCCCCGGCTGCTCACGAGGGTGTGACCATTGTGCGCTGCAAACGGACCGATAAAAAGTAACACACAAGGACACATCTTCTCTGCTTACCACTTTCTAATGGGTCCCCGTGTGTAAACTATTTGACCATTGTGAGTAGAACCTAAGTATTTAGGAGATTACCCAAGGAGAGGCAAGTAATCATTACCAAAATCTTCACAGTGAAAGCGTGCAAGTAACCACAATGTTCCTTTCCGTGTTATTTTAATGCAGGGGACACGGGGACTACAGGGCAACTTCAGGACCCACAGGTGAGGAAATCCAGGGGCGCACGGTTCTGCTTACACACCAGCGCAGGACTGTAGAATCCTCCTGCCGCTGCAAGTCGTCGCTGAGAGCTGTGTGAATAGCTTCTGTACTGTATTGTTCAGGGAGCGTTAAGAAAATAATCTGATAAGGCGTGGTGGTACACACCTGCAATCTCAGAACTCGGGAGGCTGAGGCAGGAGGATCACTGCCAGTTCAAGGCAGCCTGGGCTACATATTGAGACCTTATCTCAAAAACACAAACAAACCAAGCAAGCAAGCAGCACGTAAGCAATACAGCTGCACTGTTTCCTCCCCTCTCTGGCTGCGTCACAGAGGAAGAGAAGCAGCGGCAGCAGCTGAGCAGGTGCAGGTGTGCGCCACACTGAGAGAAGAACGCGTGGTTTTAGAATACACCTGAGGTCAGGAGGGACTGATTAGTAAACTGTGAACTGAAGAGAGTGGCTCCTTTTACTAAAGATGAGAGAACCCGTCACTGAGCTGCCCCAGCCGTCCAGCCATCGGCTCTTTTTTCTTTTTTAGTACACGTTGAACCCAGGCCCTTGCACTAAGCTACACCCCCAGTCCTTTTAAAATTTTTATTCATTTTTGTTGTGAGACTGGGTCTCAGTCAGTCACTAAGTTGCCCTGGGTGGGCTAGAACTTGAGATCCTCCTACTTCAGCCTCCCAGAATGCTGGAGTCAGGGTGTACCATGTGGCCCGGCCTAGTGAATGGCCCTTCTCGGTCTTTCCGTTCCTGTGGCCCCTGCACTCTGGCCGGGTGAGGAGCACCTCAGGGTTCCCCTCCTTCCTGCAAACTCCCAGGCAGCCCTGGGAGCCTGTGGCCGCAGTAACAGGGTCTTCCCCACGGTATGCCTGATGCTCGGCTGCGCTCAGCCCCACGGCCCCAATGCCGGCTGGACACTCCAGATGCCGTGGCTCAGACAACGGGACTGCGTTGGCTTCTCTCCAGAAGGAGGCCGGGGTAGAGGGAGCTGAGGCCACGGGAAGCAGGGCTGGGGTCATCACACACGGACAGATAAAAAAAATTAAATTGAAAAATGATAAACTGCATTGGAAATCCATTTCTCTGAAGTTCACTGTATTTCTCTGAGACTCCATCAGTTTCCCCGGGCCAGAGACTGAGCAAAGTCACCGTGTGTCGGCCCCGCGCCGGGGCTGGAACACCGCGGGAAGTGATGAGGGGAGGGTGTCATGAGTGACTAAGAGGTTACCTTCCGGGGCTGGGGATTTAGCTCAGCGGCAAAAGCGCCTGCCTGGCAAGCGCAAGGTCGTGAGTTCGGTTCCCGGTACCGGAGAAAAACCAAAAAAAAATAAAGAATGTCAGCAATTTTAAGAGGTTACCTTCCAGCCTGCACCTGCACCGTCCTCCAGCAGGCTCCGCCGAGGCCTCACAGGAGCACAGAGCCCAGCGAGCCGCAGAGAGGACATGAGGGCCGGCCAGCCTGAGCCCGGGAATCACACCCCGGTGGGTCTGGCGTCTTGAGAACCAAACTCTCCCCAGATTTGCTCACCACCAGCCACATTCATCCTGGAACACGGAGGGCTGGATTTCCCTGTGCAAAACCCTTCTGCGCTGGTCCCAGTGGTGCAGGGCTGTCATCACTACTTGGGAGGCTGAGGAAGAAAGATCTCAAGTTTGAGGCCAGTCTGGGCAACTTACTAAGACCCTGTCTCAAGAATTAAAAAATAAAATAAAAAGGTCAGGTGTAGCAGAGCATTTGCCTAGCATGAGCCAGACCGTGGGTCCAAAATAAAACCAGTTCTGAGAAGTAAAACACTGAGAGAGAAGTAGACGGAAGGAAGAGCGAACAGTGATTGTCATCTATGAGCGACACGGTCCACTCGCTGTGCAAGTTCTCATGTGCACACTTCAGGATGGCTGGGGAAATCTCCCAATTGTCCGGTATCCCAATGTAACTAGGGTTTCCTTTGTCAACCCTGGGAGTCGTGGCAGAGTCCCTCCCTGCCCGTGACTGCCACAGCCTGTTCATAACCTACAAGGTGTGGCCCAGCACAGTGTACATGCCTATGATCCCAGCACTCAGGAGGCTGAGGCAGGAGGATTGCTGTGAATTCCAGGCTAGCCTGGGCTAAACAGTGAGTTCAAGGCCAGCCTGAACTACATAGCGAGACCCTGTCTCAAAAAAACAAAAACAAACAAACAAACAAACAAAAAAGCCGGGCATTGTGGTGGTGCATGCCTGTAATCCCAGCACTTACGAGACTGAAGCAGGAGGATCACCATGAGTTTGAGGCCAGCCAAGATTACATAGTGAGACACTGCCTCAAGAACAAAAAAACAAACCAAAAATAACCTGCAAGGTGCACTCCTGAGCCAGCTTGGCTGTGCCCCCACCAGCCCTCGTGTCCAGGCAGAGGTAAAGTCACCTGCCTTGGCCTTCCAAGCGCCTGCTGTGGTGAGCACTGTCATGCCATCTCAGAACAAAGGAAAGGAAACCAAACAGGTCGGTAAATCACTCAGTCAGGTCTGCAGTCCAGGGAACCTGGTTTGAACCCAAACCAGCTGCTCCTGACTTGTGCTTGATACATGGGGAACACTCACCACAGTGCCAGGAGCTGCTCCAGAGCTCGGGGAGGGCCGCCTAGAAGACGAAGGCATCAGACTGCCCGAGTTCCCCTAGTTTTGCCGTTTCGCTGTTGGTGGTGGTGGTTTGTTGGTTTGTTTAATGAAGGGTACTTCGCGGCCTGCAGAGGTATTGCATTAGCTACTGTTGTAAGAGCAACGTGTTTTAAACTAAGATGTTGGAGAAGCTAATTCTCCATCTGGCTTTTTCTCCTTGGCAACTAAGCAAACTCTTTTTCTCTGGCTGTAACAATTTATCTCATCTTAGAAAAGAATTTTAAACTAAAGAATTTTAAATGTTAAATAACTTCCTATAGATTGTCTCTGACAGAGTTAAAGAAAGATGAGGGCTATGCGGTAGAGTGCTGGGTTCAACCTCTGGCATCATGGAAAAAAGGGAACAGTTGCAAGATAACTTCAACATTGCTCTAATTTTGCTTTAGCCTTACTCTCTGAGTAATATTTTTGAGTAGAAAAGGCCATTTTGTGATCCGTATGTGAAGAGTTAGTAATTTGGGGAAGTACTGGGTAGTGAAAGAGAAGGTTCCATTTCAAATAATATCAAGTTAGCGAGGCACAATTTTAAAGCTCCATGAGTGTCTTTGCTTATTCAATATATACTCTGTACCTAATGTGCTGTACATAGGGATCAAAGTAATTTTCAGACCTGGTCGTTTTAATCAGCAGAAGATTTGTATTTTTTTTAAAAAAAGAAATTTCCAGAAAATAAGTAGAAACTGTGTAGAAATTTTCAAGATTGCTACCAGCAGATTAAAGAGTTGTTGCTGTTATTATTGTTGTTGCTGCTGCTGCTGCTGCTGTTATTATTGTTGTTGCTGCTGCTGCAGCTGCTGCTGCTGCAGTCGTGTTGTTTGTTTACTTTGTTCTTCTCCTTTCCGGCCCCAGGAACAGCTCCCTGGAGGAGCGACCTTTTTGGAAGTGACTTTCGTTTCCAGCTCAGAAAGGATCCCTCCTTTCCATCCTCCCCTCCTTCTCTCTCCCCCTCCTGGGTCCTGTGGCCGGGAGGAGGGGACAGGGGACACAGGACGGAGAGGACGGAGCAGGCGTCTGCGGGCGCCCCCGGCTCCCACTTGTGGACCGGCCACACGTCTTCCCCAGACGCCCCCAGATTGGGTGCCCGCCCGGGGGAGGACGTGGCTCAGGTCGCCGCTCCAGATCACACCCAGCTCCCGCTGGGTGCAGCATGGGCACAGACGCTCAGCAGGAAGATGGACAGGAAAAGCCCCCAGCTCCCGTGTCTGGAGCCCGGCTGGCTCTCCCTCCTGTCTGTGGCTTAGCTGGACGCCAAGTCCCAGCCGCCAAGTCTGTGCCCCCGCTGGCGCGGCTGCAGCAGGGGGACCCGCGGCCCCCCATCCCCTCCCTGGCCGCTTAGCCGCGCAGACCCTGCCATGGGGTGCGGGCTCAGGAAGCTCTCGGACCCCGAGGACGCCAGCCCTGGGAAAATCTTCTCCACCCTCAAGAGACCGCAAGTGGAGACAAAGACGGACGTGGCTTACGAGTATGTGCTGCTGGATTTTACTCTGCAAGGTAACGTGCGCTCCTCTGTGACTTGCTAAACGTTTCCAAAGTAAGAGTCCGCTTGTTTTTGGAAGTGTTGACTGTGAACTCCCAAACTGCCCTTCCTATCCAGATTGTAAAGTCCATCTGACAAGCGCGCTTTGTTCCTCCGTCGGAGCGGGCAAGGTTTTGTTTTGTACGAGGGCTTGTAGGCATTGTACAAAATTAGGAAAACTACTTGGGAATGCTCTTTCTTCTGAAATGCAGTAGTGGAAGGATTTGTGAAGATGCCTGGTTTGCAGGCCAGGCAGCTGCGGCCTCAGTGACAGCTTGTGACTTGAAAAGGGTCAGAGGCGCGAGGTGGTGGCAGCTGAGGCCAGGCTACTTGTGTCGGGTGTGGGAGACGTTAGCCGGCTCTGTGGATGCCGGCTGTGTGGGATTTCGTGATTGTGCCATTTGTTTGATATTTTTGACCAATCTAAACTTCAGCCTGAAACTATGGCTCAGAAAGAAGGGGAGAGGCAGCCTGCTGTGCGAGGCTGCCCTGCCCAGCGCCTGGCTCTCACAGAGGAACTCTGTCCCAGAAAGTCGGGAACGACATAAACAAGTCCAGATGGCTGTGTGGCGGGCAGGGGCTCCACGCATACCTTGACTCGCTTCCTCCGGGAACTCCGGAAACTCGGAGTCTGGATGTTGCCAGGACAAAATCCCTTTTAAGAACTACATCGCTTTTTGCCGTGTGCTAAAAATGAAATTTAGATCGCCTGTCTGCTGCTAAGACTTCAGAGACTAGGATTTTGAGGTCTATTACACATCTACAGTTTTAACTCTCAGAAATCCCACACTGAGTTGGGACATTCTAATCAAACCATCATGCGGGATGGCATCTGAATTCTTTTCCAACTTGAACACAAATTCTGTCTTATTTCTCCTCTTCCTCCTCTCTGTCTCTTCTTCTTCCCTCTCTTCTTGCTGCCCTGCTGTGGAAACAGTACATCTTTGTGCAAGACGCCAGCACCACCCATTTTTCTTTGTCAAAAATTGAGCTGGCCGGCACACAGCTCCCTCCCCGGGACGCGTCACACACTGACTTTCCACATGTCCACACGCTCTCTCTGAGCCAAGGCCGCCAAAGGAAAAGCACTGTTAAGGTCCTTAATTTTCCTTTTAATCGTGAAAGTTTAAAATGGGTTAAGACAGCAGTGATAGTAAGAGAAGCAACCAGTCATGAATTTTTTTCTGTACTTTTTCCAAAAAAAATCACCCCTTGGGAAAACACTAACCTTGAAACCTTGTCCATCCCTGGACTCTAGACCAAGCCATGAAGGCTGCGCCGCCACCCCAGGGTCACAGGCTTTGGGGAGCTGAGGTTTTTGTGACTCCTTTCTTTCCAGCAGTGTTAACAGCTCAAACAAGTGAGTGTGCAGGACGCGGCCTCGGGCCAGGCGATCGGCAGCTCTGCCAGAGCCCTGCAGCTTGGCCCCCAGGTGCCGGGCGAGGCTGTGGGGTTCACGCCTGGAGGTGGGGGGTGCTCAGTCTCCTCGAAGCTCGGTTTCGGGCTGTGCTCGGCCGTGGGCTTTGGTCTCCGCCTGGGCTGCAGGCGCCAGGACTCGCACAACCTGCTCCTCGCCATCCACTCACGGCTCCGGCCTCTCCTCGCCCCGCACCTACCTGCACTCCGGGGCCCGAGTGACGGGCGGCTCGTCGCTGGGAGGAGTGGGGCCTGGTGGCGGCCCTGTGCCCCTCTCAGCCTGTTGCCTCTCTCCTGGGTTTCCAGAGCCGGCATCGGGCACAGACAGCTGAGCCCACGGCTGGAGGGGACTCTGCCACGTCCCGGCCCTGAGCCCGTTGTTTTCCATTCAGCTCCCTCTCTCTCCCCTGCGCGCCCGTCACAAGTGCATTTCAGATTGTGTCCCACAAAGCTCGCAGGTGGCTCAGGCACCTGCAGAGAAGGCAGCGTTGTTCTCACCTAATGCGGTGTGTTCGAAGTGTCCCCGGTGCGGAGGAGTCGCCTGTCGCCTCTGCCTCCACCTGGGAAGGCTGGCTGCCGCCCTCATGCCCTGGAGGCCGCTCCCTCCGCGCACTGGGGTCGCGCAGCACCTCTGTCCTCCTTCGCACGGGCTCCTCAGAGACTCCGAGCGGTCAGACCAGCCCTGCGTCCCTCCTCAGGCACGTGCTTGCTGTCGGTGACCACAGGGCTCTTCTCTCCAAGGTCCAGGCGCTTGCCCTCGGCGACCACAGTTACTGCTGTGTATCCTGCAGCTGTAACTCAACAAAAGTCGTGGGGGAAGTCGCTGTGTACACGCGGCTGTGGTGTTGCACAGACACTGGAAGAACCTGAAAATATCTCTCTCTCCTTAAGGAACCCTGAAGTCCCATCCAGCAGGTTGGATTTTTCTAGAGCTTTGTGGCAAGTCTACCAGCCATGCTAGGGAGCTTGCAGGGGATGCTTTCTGGATTATTGTTCTGGTCCCTCTCACCACACTGTGATGTAAGTTCATTAATGTGGCAGCAATTCATTAACAGCTTTGACTCTGGCTAATCAGTGGGAACTGGAAGGTATCCCAAGACTCTTAGTGTGTATCTGTCCGTGTGTGTTTGTAAGCGTGTGCAACATGTGTGTACGAGTGTGGAAATAGAATCTGTCAGTGAAAGGTTACATTAACTTTGTAAACAATCCAAAATCATTAGTTTACCTTCTTATACAACCCTAGAAAACAATCTGGATGTCAGTAGCTTTTTGACCATTTATAACATTATGTGTGGAGGGAGCTTCTCCAACACTGAAGCCCATCGGAAGGGCGGACGGTGGCTTTCTGATTTGAGTTCTGGCGCCATCCCATAAAGGCATGCTGAGTAAAACTGCTGGTTTTGAGCCTGCGTCACTGTTCTTAGAAGAAACCGTCTCTCATTACCGTTAGCAGCAGCGTGGACCTGTGTACACCGCTTAGCCCTGGAAGTGCAAAGAGGAATAAGACAGCTTCCGTCGGCTCCTGTTGGTCAAACTGAGCAAGCTGCTGCGCCCTCAGGCAGGAACCCCGCCCTCCCTGGGGCAGCGCAGGGTTTGCGCACAGCGTGGGCAGTGAGTTTTGATGAGCAAGTGAGTGAGCGCGGTGAGTGCACAGAACGGCGGAGGTGACTGAGGGAAAGTGACAGCTAAGGTGTGGCCTGGAGGAAGCGGTCCGCAGCAGGAAGCGGCAGAGCAAGCAGAGATCGACTCTACGCAGGGTCAGCCGGACTTTAATTTTTGTAATTTTTAATTTTTTTTTTTTTTTTTTTTTCTTTTTGAGACAGGGTCTCACTATGCAGCTCAGGCTGGCCTTGAGCTCACTTTGTAGCCAAGGCTGGCCTCAAACTCGCAACAATCCTCCTGCTTCAGCCTCCCAAGTGCTGGGCTTACAGGCATGTGCCACCACGCCCGGCTCAGCCAGACTTTAATGACTGAAAGAAGAGCAGAGCTCAGACTTGGAGAAGAGGCTGGAGAGGCCAAGGCACGTGAGGCCTGTGACCCGGCAGTGAGGGTGGGCTGGGGCGGGGACAGTGAGGCTGGGAATCCACAGAGCAGGAGCAGCTCGGGCTTGGCGAAGGGAAGGCTTTTTGAACGGGTGTTGTTGGGCAGAGCTGTTTGAAGAAGGCTGAAGGGGGCAGCAGAGAGCGGGGCACAGAGGGAAGCCGGGGTGAAGGGAGGGGGCGAGGTGTGGCTGAGGCGGAGCCAGGGTGGTGGCCAGGCGGGAAGTGGCCAGAGTGGGGGCCCCAGAGGTCCTCCTGGTCTGGGCGAGGGACGGACCCCTGAAGGCACCCAGGGTGAGTTGCGCACCCAAGCTGCAGGCAGCAACGTGGTGGCTGCGGACGTCCTGGTAGGAATGGCTGAGGATGAATAAGTGCGTCCTCTGTGTCTTCAAGAGGAAGAGCCTGGGCAGAGCTCTGTGCTGGGGAAGCTCAGTGTTGTGGCCAGGGCTGGGGCACAGCCGCAAAGAATACAACCTAGCAAACTGCCTGGCGAGGTGGCGCACACCTATAATCCCAGCCCTTGGGAGGCTGAGGTAGGAGGATCACTGTGAGTTCAAGGCCAGCCTCAACAAGGTGGTGAGACCTTGTCTCATTTTTTAAAAAAAAAGGAAAGAGAGAAGAAACAACCCAACAAAAATGTCAGAGAGTGAGGACGGTACTGTAGTGAACACAGGAAGGGGAGGTTTTGAAACACAGGAAGTTGTCAATAATTTTAGAGACCATTCAAGAAGAACAAAGCCGAAGGGAATGTAGGGAGAATGTACTTAAACATCAACAAGAGATGAATAAAGGAGGGAGGGTTACAGGGAAAGAAAGTAGAAAGCGAGCGTCCAGCTAAATTCTCCCGATCCGTGTCAGTCTAACAGTCCCGGGCATCTCCAGGCAGCCGAGGACGGTCCAATGTAAAGTGCCACACACTGAGAAATCAGTAAATCACCCAGATCCGTTTCGGTGCCCAGCGAACCCCGCCTCAGCGCTGTGTCCCCGTGTGCCCAGGTGGGCAGGGAGTCCCTCAGGCTGGACACAGTGAGCGAGTTTGCAGAGAAAAATCGCAAATCCAGACTGTGGCGGGAAAGAAACACCATCCGAGCCAGGAGAGGAAGGAGCTTCTAACAACAGCGCACAGTTGACCCGCTTTTGAAAACGTCGGTATGAGGACCTCTACTCATGAGCTCTCACCTGGCAAGGTGTCCCCACCCGCCCTGTCCCAAGCGGCCACCATTCCGGAACCCAGAGAGGGCGAGGGGCTCCAGACAGAGGCTGTGTCCAGAGCACCCAGGACACAAGCCCAAGGCAGTGAGGAGAAGGAAACCCCGCCAAAGCAGGGACGAGGCACGGAGACAGGAGAGACAGGAAGCCAGGTGACCCGGAGACGTGTGACACTGTGCTCAGCTCACACACAAACAAGAAGTGCACGTGAAGACCGCGGAGAGAAGCCGCTGCAAATCACACGCCGTGCTTAAAACACACAGGGAACGGCACCCGGTGCTGCTCGTGGTTATAACCACTTAGGGGAAGCC